CAGCCATGAACTGAGCTTTGAAAAGTACGTAGTTTCATCTTGCAGCAATGACAAACTGTGCCTTATTATAAACAGCAGCAGCAGACAGCTCATAATAAGTACTTATTCTTTTACCTTCAGTAAAAAAATACAATATCTGGAGGTCAAGTTGTGCTTTCATTTACAGTGATATAAATTTGGAGTTATGTGGTTGATTTGGGGATATTTATGGTTTCACACATTTTCATAATGCAAATGAGTAGAATTTGACTCTGAAAAATCTAACTATGTCTGGTATATTATTTCTGTTTTGACATTTGTTCTTCACAACTACGTCTGCTAGAGTTTTAGAAGCCTGTCCTTGTGTAATTTGCCTCCTGGGAATAGCAAACAAAATACTGTGACTGTATCATATTAATGTGCTTATGCAATGGCATATTTATAGCTAGACAACTCTTGTGATTTTTTTTTTCAATATCTGGAAGGAAAAAATAACCTGAAACACCCTGAGTTTTTGCATGTTCTTTTAAAATTCTAGCAAATGAAGGTTATTATTCTTTCTAGTGAATCTGAAAAATGACTTTGTGGGAATGTTTTTATGACACTCATGCAAAACCTGGAATATAACTGGCAAAGATAACTAAACTAAGCATTTTCAGGCTCATGTCTATCATTTTGGGTATTTATTCAGGCAGAAAATATACCACTATGGTTTTGGGTTTCAACAACCTAATGTAACAGATTGGGGTGATTTACTAGAGTAAGACTTCAAACAAACAAGCTCTCAGAAGGATTTAAGACTGAGTTTAACTGGGCGTCTCAGCATAGAACCACCACTTCATTGCAATTCCCACAAGCACCCAACTCTGTTCCTGTATGAGTCCTAGCGAAAAATCAGACTTCCTTAGAATTCAGTGCCAGCTAGACACTTTTTCCAGCTATAAACCATGGCTTTTTCACTCATATACTCAGGTCAGGTCCTGGACATTACCCAGGGAAGTTTATCTGAGAAGCTTTATTGAGAAAGAAATTTGACTTTCAGGAATTGTTTCAGTTTTTTCCCCTTTGTTTCTTTTTCTCAGCTTCCTTCCTCTTCCTAGCCTTTCTCTCCCTGCTTGCATAGCTACAATTACATGAGAATGAACATTTCAAAACATGCCTTATTCCTCCCATTTTACAGACCTCGGTTATCCTCAGGAGATTCACCACCACCTTGGCAGTCTGCTTTGCTTGTCCCCTCCTCACCCAACACCTACTTCCACATCATTCACCTAAATTACCACTGTAGCTGCATATTTTTGTAATAGCTGTAATGACTTCTGTTTACATTAACGTTTTAGGCATGAAATCTTAAAAGCCGAGAACCCGGGGACCAACTATTTCCATGGTATTTGGCGATGAGAGTGAATACCAGCACAGCACCACCAGCTAGCTCAGTAGCTAAATAAATGAATGGCCTTATTCAAAAGCGCTGTGCATCCAGCGCTCCACAAAGTCAAACAAAAGTATGCTAAACCAACTGCTTTTGTAGCAAGTGGAATAATTTACCCAGTGAGCAACAGGAAGAATTAATAGCCCCTTTGAATAGAAATGAGTACAAAATCTTGGCATTTGAGTGAGTTCATTTATCTGGTACACAATATATATTTTAAATTCCTCTGAAGGCAGTTGTGTGCTCACAGTATATGCCCTCTGCTGGGAAAGAAAAGCTCCAGAGAGAGGGAATTAGAGCAGATCAGCCCTTGCTCTGCTGAGCTAGTACATTCCACAAGGTCAGCAGCCAGCTGGCCAGGGGACAGCTTTGTTGGAGAGAAGCTGACACTTCTAGAGGTGTTCAAATAGGATTCCCTGCACTGGGCAAATGATGAACCCGTGTTACAAACACCACTGCTCCACTCACCTGAACGTTACTGATCAATTTCTCTGAATTTTTCGTTTCAAGTACTAGATTTCTAAAGCTCCTGTGAGCTTCATATTAATATCTATCATCTTTTTTATCCATGAAGGTAGGAATGACAGAAGCTCAGATCAAAAGGGTTTGTTTGAAGATAAGTGGGTCTCTCTATAAATATAGATTCTTTGAGCATGCAATGAGTTAATTGAAAAAAAGTAATAAAAAAATCAAGGGCCTCTTGTGAGGCCAGCTGATGTGTAAATTCTATCTACTTGAGAAAATCTATAATGACATTTGCCATTTTAATTGATTTAAGAGAAATGCAGCCTGCATTTTTATAATGAATGTTCCCAGACTTTCACTGGAAGTAGGCTTTAAAAGAGATGCAAATGACAACCTATTTAATGGCTGTGTGCAGAAACAGAAGCTGTCCTCTTTGCGCTGAAGATGTGTGAGAGTGTGAGATCTGCAGATCCAGAATAAGGCACTTGAAGTAACCCAAAATAATCAGTACAATCATGACCTGAGACAAGGATGAAATAGTAAATGAGAGGCAAATTTTGAGCACTGGTGAGCCCGTGAGAACATATCACAAATTACTAGTTAATGTAATGCTCATATATAATACTAATTAGCAATTGCTATTAGCTGTCCATATGTATACATTTTGCATTCTCATTACAGTGACTTCCATGTAAGGTTAACAATAATCAAATGTGGAATACAGGTAACAAGGGAGACCCCCTCATCTATGTCGCAGACATCTAGGAATGGATCTGAAGCTTTATCTCAAGATGAAGATTGAGACTCCATTCTTTAGGGAACAAAATTGTATGATGTTTCACTCTTATCTGCTGAGTACCTATTGGGAATGATCATGTGCTTGTAAAATCTAGAATCAATGTGTTGAACTGGGCTGTGTTTCTATTGCTCCGCAAGAGTAGTCTCCAAAACAACCATAAGTATGACTAGCTCTTACTCTTTTTTTAATCCAGAGTATGAGAAGCTAAACATTGGGAACTGTGCTAGAAAGATTGACCAGTCATGCCCATCACTTGAGATGCAAGAGAGGAGAGACCATGGTACTCTGCTACCAGTGTGCTTTGGCAGTGAGCGCAACACTTAACATGTCTCAGTGCTTTGTTGTCCTCACACTTCACAGGTTTCACAAAATACATATGAGGAGCCTGTGAATTGCTAATATGAGGCATTCCTGACAATGCTGAGACACATAAAATCTTGTATAAAAGCAGGTTGTTGTAGTTGCTGAAGGAATACACTTAGGGGATGTCTGGAGAAAAGACAGACAAGAGCGATCCTGAGTGTAACCTTGGGCCTATCCTTCACAGATGGATTAGGGATAGTTATTGAGTCCAGTGATGTTATGGCACAGGACAGTCTATCACAGTCTGATGTGTTGCCTTACAATCCTCATTTTGTGCTCCACTGCCCCTTCATGTTGTTCTCATTCGTCTCCCAGGTCTGCCTTAGTTTTCTTGTAGTTACATCCAGTGCCAAGCTACACACCAGTCCAGCTTGAAGAGCACCTTCATTTTACTTGAAAGGCAAAGGAGTCAGTTAAATTATGCAAGTGAAAAGCAGAAACTGGAACCAATTATGGCTATTGCTCCCTCAAGAGTCTGAATCATAGCAGTGTATTTTACAGAAATATTTTTAAATGGTTCTTAAGAAAGTAGACCACAGTCTCATATGCATTATGAACAAGTTCTGTAAGCTACTAGATCCAAGAGCATGTAATTTTAGCAAAGCTTAGTTTTTGAAATATGTAATCCAGTGAGGAGGGAGAATGAATTATTTAAAACTTAATAGTCATAATTATGAACTAAATTAGCATTACAATTTCTAAGTCAAATCTACATGCTGATGAAGAATGGAAAGCTGTTGTCAAAAAAGGGTAGAGCTTTTCATAAGGAGTAGTTTTCTACATTGTTTACAGTAGAAAGGCTAACATATCAAATGACATTTACTTACAGGATTTTTAAATGAAATCATGAAGGATATTTGTGTCAAAATCAACAGCTCTGGGGAAAGAGAACTGTTTGTCTACCATGAATATAGCAAAAGCAGCAGCTGAAGTTTGTCCACCTATGTAGGCCAATTTCTGTTCATTGGTAAAAGCCCTTTGGGCAAAGGACTAGTTTGACACAAACAAGAATGCTTTTGGGGATGGAAGGTTCCTTGTGAGGTTCAGATACACCCCTTAATAACTCAACTAGAAATACCGATTCATTTCACAGTTGGGGATTAAGTAATGGAATTATTCTGAACCATTATTAATGGCAGCTGCTTTGCCTAAGGATTAGCTCCATGTTGTCAAAGGCATTAAAGGTAATATACCCCATTTCAAATCTCTCTTCAGCTATTCAATTCAGGTATATCACGTCTTTCAGTAATCAATATTTTGAGCCGCGTTTTAGTTCTCCCCCCATGCTTCCCTCTTCTCACATATTTCAAAAAGAAGATACAGTAACAAAAGTATAAGCTTAGATCAGTTTCATAAAATGCTCTTTGAAGAACAAAATATGATCATGCTTCCAAAGGCATTTAGCAGCTCTTGACTTTGCATTGAACTATACGATACTTATGAAGTCAAAAACTTATACAGGTTTGTATCTTTGTAGGTCTAAAGTATAGTGCAGTGCCATATTGTGCCTTAAGCCCCTCTTTTTTTTCTCCAAGCTTACCATTCATTTCTTTTATGAAATTTTTAATAAAGTTCAGTTTTCCTTACTGCCTCAAGGTATTATTCTTGAAGAGCCAGCAGATAGTTGTGAGAGAATTGTTCAAGTTTTGCATAATCTAGAAAGAACGTTTAAAAAACACTGTTCCCCTACACAGCCATGAACTGAGCTTTGAAAAGTACGTAGTTTCATCTTGCAGCAATGACAAACTGTGCCTTATTATAAACAGCAGCAGCAGACAGCTCATAAGAAGTACTTATTCTTTTACCTTCAGTAAAAAAATACAATATCTGGAGGTCAAGTTGTGCTTTCATTTACAGTGATATAAATTTGGAGTTATGTGGTTGATTTGGGGATATTTATGGTTTCACACATTTTCATAATGCAAATGAGTAGAATTTGACTCTGAAAAATCTAACTATGTCTGGTATATTATTTCTGTTTTGACATTTGTTCTTCACAACTACGTCTGCTAGAGTTTTAGAAGCCTGTCCTTGTGTAATTTGCCTCCTGGGAATAGCAAACAAAATACTGTGACTGTATCATATTAATGTGCTTATGCAATGGCATATTTATAGCTAGACAACTCTTGTGATTTTTTTTTTCAATATCTGGAAGGAAAAAATAACCTGAAACACCCTGAGTTTTTGCATGTTCTTTTAAAATTCTAGCAAATGAAGGTTATTATTCTTTCTAGTGAATCTGAAAAATGACTTTGTGGGAATGTTTTTATGACACTCATGCAAAACCTGGAATATAACTGGCAAAGATAACTAAACTAAGCATTTTCAGGCTCATGTCTATCATTTTGGGTATTTATTCAGGCAGAAAATATACCACTATGGTTTTGGGTTTCAACAACCTAATGTAACAGATTGGGGTGATTTACTAGAGTAAGACTTCAAACAAACAAGCTCTCAGAAGGATTTAAGACTGAGTTTAACTGGGCGTCTCAGCATAGAACCACCACTTCATTGCAATTCCCACAAGCACCCAACTCTGTTCCTGTATGAGTCCTAGCGAAAAATCAGACTTCCTTAGAATTCAGTGCCAGCTAGACACTTTTTCCAGCTATAAACCATGGCTTTTTCACTCATATACTCAGGTCAGGTCCTGGACATTACCCAGGGAAGTTTATCTGAGAAGCTTTATTGAGAAAGAAATTTGACTTTCAGGAATTGTTTCAGTTTGTACTGTTAGATCATTTCTGCTCGACTGAAAGGAGTCATGTCTGCTTCAGAGTTTTGGGGTGATAAGGCCTGGCTGTTTCACTGAGGTGAGGGAGACAGGTGAACTACAGCAAGATACAGTATCTCAGGATCAGAATCTCCTGGGTTTTGCCATTTAAAAGAGAATTAATTCTTAGGCTAAAAATTCTTAATCAGAAAATTATTAGATGAATAAAAAGGATGGATGGAGACTTAGGAAATAAAATGTCTTAAGTGGTTTTTTCTTTCCCTTACACTAAAACGTTCTCGTTACTATAACATATGTTTAGCGCGAGAAGCTTAATATCAAAGTTTCTGTAAATGCAGGAAAAGTTAATGAGGAAAGACAGCCATCAGTTCTTGCTCCCAAAAAAGTAAAAAAAAAAAAAAAGAAAGAATAATCAAAGAACCTGCTGAATAGTTTTCTGAGTAAATTACTTATGGCTTCTAGAAAAACCCCAAGAAACAGAGACAATTGAGCTGTATGAAATTAAAATGATCACTGAATCCACGGAAGTCTCTGAATGCACCTAAACAGAGGTGTTGAAAGGTCAAGTCACTCTGCTACAGATAAAGATAGAAATGCAGCCCTAAACTAAGCGGGGAGCTGGACAGTCACGTCACTGTGACAACAGGTACATTGGAGTCTTTGTCACACCGCATAATCTAACAGAAGGCAGAGGATGGTTTCAGGAGGCATTATAATTCTTCAACCAAAGACGTACCCATTAAAGAGCCCTATTTCTTCAGTGTCACTTAGATCACTGAAACATCCTGAAATCAAATGTTAGTACTACAAATTTGCCCTACAAAAAAATACCAGAACAACAAAATATGCCCTGTTTCTTCTATTTATTTGCCTAGCTTTTACTATCAGTTTTTAATCTTTCTATAGCTTTTTTTGCTGTATTACAGAGCTCACTATTATCCTTCTGAAGTGTTCTCCAACAATTCTACAAATACTTGTAACTAGAAATCAAGCAACCCCTTGATTTCTTTTATTTAGAACCAAATTAACTGATGAGTTTGCTTCAGTGCTTTCTTTCTTTCTCTCATCTTTCTTGAATCATAGATACCACTGCTAGGTACAGTGCTGCACAAATACTTGTATTCATGTCAGAGGCAATAGAGGACTGAGGTGGGGTATTGCCTTTTCCAAACTCAATATTCTCATTTGTATGTCCAGAATTCATTGACCATTTTGGATGTAGAAGTGGATGAAGGCACAGGATCCTCATATCCTACCTGTAGCTGAGGGCCCATTTTATAATGCTTTTGTTTGGAGTGATGGAACGGTATTTGCTTGTATTCTGTTATGCTGGTTTTGCAACTAGTTTATCAGATTATTCTATCATGTCAGTCTGTTCTTTTAATTATTTGGCACTTTCCTATTCACTCTCTCTGAAAATGTTATGAGCAGTGATTTTACTGTTTTCTTGTAGGTTATTAAAAATAAATTAAACAACAAGGAGTCAAGGTCAGTACGCTCTTTATGACCACATTTGAAGCCTGTCAGACATTTTTTAATTTAATATGTACCATAATGATTTTCTATTACGATAACAATTTATTTTAAAATATTTTATTGTAGTTTCTCAATGAAAATTTTATGCAATCAGTTATTTTACAGAAGTATAAATACATTTCTACAACACAGTTACATTTCTCTATGAAACTTTCATTCTCACAGAAAAGGATACTGTTACCATGAATATATGTATACTTCTCCATACATTCCTATTGATTTGCACTAATTAAATTATCCTTCTTTAATTCTTTCTTAATAGAATCTCCTGTCAGTCATTCTGCTGTATACTTGGGATCAATATTAAGTTGATGGAACTACAATACCTATATACCTTTTTTCAATATTGGCACAACCTTTGCTTTCATTCAGTGCTCTGGAACTTTTCCAATGTTTGAAAAGTGACTGAGAATTAATATTAACAGCCCATAATGGTCTTTGCTGGTTCATTTAAAACTCTTGGATGTGATTAATCTGTACATGCTGATTTAAGAAGACCTAATTTTAGAACCTTCAGATAACTAGATCTCCCTTGATTTTTCTTTCAATGTAAATAAAAAATTGAGTTTTAAACACTGTGATTAAAGATATCTTTTTGTTGCTCTGTTCACTCTCCTGATATTTTACTGTTTCACTGTCTGTTGGAAATCCTGCCAGTGGAAGGGCCTCTGAATTTCTAAAGATTTTTTTTTTAAGAGGGAGCTATGCATTTCTTTGCAGATTATCTTTGACTTGTATGAACCCTTGGGATAAATGTCTGTCAGCTACCTTAGTAAATGATGCATTATAAGCAGCTCAATCCTGTTTCTAACCTTTGCAGGAGGGGCTTGTTCTTTTTTTACATAATAACTTTCGGTGTGCTTTCTCACTCTTCCGCATGGTAGTTCTAAAAAAAAAAAAAAAAAAAAAAAAATTTAAAAGTCTTAAAAACTAAATCTCTAAAGCTGTTGTCTATCCCAAAGTCTAAATTTCTATGTCATGATAAATGTACTGTGGACACTATTTACTAACTTCCCTTTTAAAAAAAATGTTTAAAATATTTAAATCTTTGCAGAAAGTACATGAACATATTCCTGTTTTATAATGGAGGAAACAATGCAACGACCAAATATATACAAATATATCTGTACATACATAGTATATAAAGTAGTGATGTTATATATGAAATTGATTAATACATTAAGAGCTGTTGGTAAAAGCAATATATTAGTTTTAAACAGGTCAAAGGAAGAGACTGGAGAGCCCATTCCTCCCTTGATTTGGAGAGTTGTGCTGTGGGTCATGTGGCAGTGGGGTGCTCTCCTGGCTGCACAAGCCTTCTGATCCCACTCTCACCACAGCTCCCCCTTTCTTCTGCATAAACAAACCCAAAAAGGGGTGGAGGAAGGGGCAGGGGAAAGAACCAGAGACATTCTAATACAGAGACTAAACCACTGTAACCACAGCCTAAATATGTGTCTTTTGAAGATAAAGTAGCAGTTGTGCTGACAAAGTCTGTGATTATGCACATGTTCAAGCTCAACACCCTGAGCATCCCACTAATTTTGCAATAGTAAAATTAAGTCCTGTGTAGGTTTACAGGGTGGACCCCTTGGCTGTCAGGAATTCTGGCCTTGTGGTTGTCTTCTGCCACCTGCCATGACCCTTATTTCTTGACTCAGATTTGCATTCACAGTAGGATATTTTTTAAACCATTGTGAAAGAGTTTCACGTTTGCTGGATACTGTCATCTGCATCACTAAAGCATCACTGTAGTATATACCATTAAAGAATCTCTGTGGCATAATTGGTATAGGGAATCAATGATAGCAGAATAAATATGCACAAAAATTATAAAACAACTACATTTTTTACCTCATATTGAAAATACAAAGTGGTCTTACATGTCTTGAAATAGGAAATTTGGGGGTACCAAGAAGGAGGATAAGTCCCCAAATCAATGGATCTAGATATTTTACATTATTGGAAAGAGGTATAGAAAAGGGGTTGGGAATGACTTGAGAAAACACATTTAAACCAGTTGTATTAAAAGTAAATGAAGGCTCATGCCCATCATAGAAAGCGGCTCTGTGGTGCCTACTCAGTCATTCCAAATGGACCATTTTTACTTCCTCTGGTCTGCATCTTCTCATGTGTCTCAAATTATGTGCTTCCTGGTGGGGCCCATCATATTCAGGGCAGTTTGTTAATGCAGTGAAGCTCTTTAAAATGCATACCATGTGTGCACAAAATGTCTTCATTTATCAGAGTAGCTCAGAGATCAGTCTCTATTCAAAAGAGCAGAATAGTGCTAGAACAAGGGTATCAACTCACCCTGTAGTGAAACTGAGTTCCTCCTTCAGTCAAAGGCTGGGAATTAAAACCAAAATAGACACAAATGACTAAAATTCAAGTTTTACCCCCTTTTAAGTGACAGAGATAAATTACATTTTAATAAAGTAAATTTTTAAACCTTTTTTCACAAACGTAGGCAACAGTCACACATTCCCTGCCAGCTCCTTCCAAGATGGCTGAAGAAGTGACCGTCTCCTGCACATCCACAGCTGCTGACTGCTGCACCTCTGATCTGCCTCTGGAACTGTTCTTGTAAGTTCTCCTCTACTTATTTCAACCAGAGAAAACCAGGTTTGGATAAACAGTTTAAAGGTACTGATGAAGGTCTTGCTACAGACTTGTCTTGGTGGGGCTGTGTGAGGTTGGCTGAGCCTTGCTACAAAACCATGCCAGCACAAGCCTCTTGCCTGGATGCAAGTGTTCTGGCAACCTCCATGGTTGTGGAACAGTTGGTATTGTCACTGGGATTAGTTACACCATCCAGTAGTGAAGAACCAGACTCCCACAGTTGAGCTAAAGCACTTCGGCAATACAGTAACAGGTATTTTGGTCCTGATGGAGCACGCTATTTGTTTTATTGGTGCTTTTGTATTTATGAGGTATACATGCTCATTCATTCACACCCACACAGAAGTCAGGTGTGTCCTAAACACCTGGATTAGGTAGGTAGATAGGATCACTTCTTTCATCCCACTGTGACAATTTCATTCATGTAATGTGGCCCTCCCTGAGTAATAGACATTGCAGTATGTTTTATAGTAAACAAATTTCTATCCTTTCTACAAGTATGATGTTAAGAAATGGTTGAGCAAAAGCAAATAACTTTAATTGGTAGAAGATGTACTGAATTATCCTAGATTAATTATTGAGTAATATAATCAAATATCAAAACAGATTTCTAAATGTCAGTAATAGTGAGAATGAAATACTATTCATATCAACCCTCCAGCTAGAATCAGTCTTATTTATTGCCTGAATTTAGCTTTCAGATTACTGATTTATATGAAAACAAACCCTCTTGTAACTAAATCTCTTCCTGCTAACAAACAGAGAAGGTTAAGAAATAAAAGTTGTATCAAATACAGTTTGCAGTTTTAGTCACTATCATGCAAAATAGCTGGTATATCACTTTAATAAATAAATACATGACAACTGAGGACAAAACACATTCTTTCATTATTTTGAAGTTTTCCCGCACAAATTCAGAAGACAAATGATATAGGAGATCTGCTTTTTGGCAGGGGAGGACAGAGCAAACTCACAAAACCAGCCTTTTATTGTGAGATTTCTGACATACATTAAGGCATGAATCTGAAATTGTTTTGGTATTACCCTGCATAGGAGAACCCTTATTTCATTGTGAATAAGCCTTTTTGCTTATTTTATCTTTTGTTGCTTGTGAACTACTTTGAGACAAAATACTTCCTTTTATTTGAGTAAAAACTTTCACACAAAAATGGTTATGCATCGAACAGCATAATTTATACAACCTATTTTTGGAATAAGCCTAGCAATGGATTAAACATGAATTGTTAGATTGTTGCTGTGACCCTTATTCCTGGGAACTTACAAATAAATATATTCCCCTGTGGCTTCACTAAACCTTTGAAAAGTACATTTGTATGCAAATCTGTGAAAAGTCACATGGCAATGTCACCCTTAGCATTGCACATGTTGTGCAGTACCATAGCAGGCTGTGGAACAGTCTGACAGCTGACGTATTGAAGCTCTAGGCCGTTTTCAGCAGGGACATTTAAAATTAGAGAGCATAAAAAGCTGGACTATGAAGTGCAGAGAACATATTCAAGAGACAGACTAGATGAGCTGCTAGGCCTTCCTATTAAAATCTTCTACTGTTATACACAGTATTCGCACAGTCATTTCTTTCCTAACTCTTACCGATATTGCTTAAGAGGTAAGATAAGTGTGTGTTCCAGAAAATGCAGGTGTCTGCCATGTGCCACAGGAATGGTTAGTAGCTACCAGCTTAATACTAGTGTGTGTGATGGCCAGTGGTGGCCACGCTGGGCAGCAGTGGGGTTGTGACTGACTCAGGGTTACTTTAACCAACACTGCCTGGCTTTCGGCTGAACTGCAGCAACAGAATAAACTTATGTTATAGACTTATGTTATAGATTGGTGCAGTTTATATCCATCACAGAAACGTAATGGAAAATCATTTTACAGCAATTTTATTGTTCTAATAGTCTATTATAGCATGAGGCTATTGTAAATAACACTTAAAGAAGTAACCAAAGTGAGTTCTTTTCAGTTATGAAGACATCATAATCTTTCAATGAGGTACCATATGTCAGATTTGCTGCTCTTTTCCTAATGCAGAACAAGAAAGCATTTGAACACTGAATTCTTTTATCTGAAATAAGGAACCTTTCAGGCCACAAAATAAAAATAATTTAAAATAATGTATATTAGCCATTTGAGCAAAGATATTCAGCCCATTTTTTCTGACATTTTTTCTTTCACTGGAAACCAAAAGAGTTTTCAAAGGAGAGTGTCTTTCAAGAAATTTCTAGGATAAAAAAGACCTGCCCCCTTTATTAGCCTGTATGATGACAACCAGCCAAGTATCACATTGTCTATGAGATCATAAGATGATGGCACTCACTAGGTAATTAACTGGACAATATATTGTTTCAACCTGCTAAGAGTTCAGCATGCAGTCCAACATCAGGATTTGATTTTTCAGATCCACATAGCAGGACTAACCGGCAATGACTGTAGTCCACAGTTTTCCGTTAATTTTTTTGCTATTGTGAGAAAACAAGAGAAGGTAAGTTCCTGAGTCCAAGTCTATGTCCTATGTGGGAAGCACCTCTAGTTTTAGTGCTCTCCTCCACCCACCTGCTGTCTGCCATGATCATCCCATCCTGTTACACCATATACCTAAATAACCTGCATCTCATCACAGTTCCTCTTGACCTATTCCTCTTTCACACCTATACATGATCCTTCTTTCTGGCCCCGACAGACTCCTCCACTATCTCTTGTCCCCGAATTCAGCATACTGTTACATTCCAGGTGCCAGGGGATACAATCCCTTTGTACCATTATTCATCACAGTGATATTGTGTGTTCAAAAAAATATAAATGCAGAGAAAATCCCCTGGCCCTTGCAGTGCACAGTGAAACATCAGCATAGACGAATTCTGCAACAGATGTATCAACTCTTAAGACTCTACTTAGAGTATGCAAATATATTGCTTTTAGAAAATGAGGAATTAATCAAATGTTTTCGGGTTTTCTCAGGAAGAGCAGGAGGTATGGCCTTGAAACTACCTTCTGCCAAATTTGAAAGTCTTCATTCAAAATATAGAGCTGCTGGGGGGTTTAACCTCTTAGCTGAAATATCTGTAATAGATTCAGTAGAAAGCATTTCCTCTTGTTTCCATCTTACTAATTCCCTGAAGGGCAAAAATAAAGTGAAATTGAAAAATGTGCTAGTGGGGCTAAATTAAGACTGACAAAGGTATAAGCAGCTGAAAGCAAGGCATTACAAGTGGAAACTAAACCACAAATTTCACATACAGTACAGCAAGGTGTCTGTATCTTCCACGTAAAACAGTGTCTTGATCTGTTTTGCAGTTAGAACTGTATTAAATACAACTTTTTTTCCCCTTAGTGTATAAGCAAATACATGTAATTATGAGACATCTTCCAACTGATGTAAAAACCTACTAGGTAGGTTCCACCTTATACACTGAAGAAATCTTGAGAAGTACAAACATGTCAGATACAGACAGGGTCAGACATTTAAAAAGAAGTGATAGCAATCATAATTAACCCACTTCACACTCAGAATTATTTTAAAGAATGTTAGAAACATATTTAATACTGGGGAAGGACATATTTATTACATGACAGTGTTTAGAAGTCCCCAACTCTTTAGAAAACACACTGGCCAGAAATAATACTGTTGGGAGTATTACAGTTATGACCAAATAAATTGAAACATTCACAGCTAATGTCGACATCACATAGCTGAGCATAGCAGGAAGCTGCCATCAGTAATTTACATATTCACTTCTAGTTGTGCCTGTGCATCATAAAGATTGTTCATATTTGCATTTGCTGCCCTCTGAACCAAGTCATTTTCCAGTGGCATATATTCGCTTTCACTGCGGGTAACTTTCATTAGTGGTAATTAAAGGACAATTTTTACTGCATTGTTCTACAGGAAACAATAAGCAGTTGCTGAGATTGATTAATATCTAAACTAAGTTTGAGATGTGTAATCAATCTTATAGGCACAAGAGATTGTTCCTGTTATGTAATGAAAAGTAACAGGAAAGAAAAACCCTATTTATTCTGAATAGCCAATGCTTACCCTTTAAATTCCATTGGATTGCACTAAATGGCCTGATTTATTTTTAAAATGTTCCCAACAGAGAATAGCCTCAGTCTCTGTGTAATGACTTTTTACCCTCATTATCTGCACAGTCTGTGTTTGGGCTCTGACTGGAACAATGCCAAGGAGGATGTCAATGTTATCTTAGTGTAGAAATTATTTTCTAGTAGACAACTGCATCTGAGGGTCGCTGTGCATCCGATCCCATTCCTTTTGCCTTCAATGCCTATTGAAAATACTCCTTTTCAGAGACTGCTCAAACCCCATAGACTCAACACTGCTTCTAGTTGAAGCTTTACTGTTTCACTGACAGCTGGAACAGACCCAATAACTGTAATGTGTTTTTACTTGCTGAAAAAAAAACCTATTATGCTGTGCCTTATTTTGCCATCCAAATATTGTGCTGGGAAATACTATCACTGCAGAATTGCTGTCAAATATTTGTTTTTATCGGGAAAATAGCAGTCTTTCTGTAGTAGAATGATGTTATCATTTAATTATTTTTTTCTTTTCTGCTTTACCACAGAAAGCTGATTCAAATTCACAGAATTCAATGAAGTATATATTTAAATGCAAAAGAGGCATACCAATTAATCAGTACAGAATACGAACGCTTTTAATCTGCATCAAAAAAAACTGTGGGGCATAGAAAAACACCAGTATTTTATATACTTTCTTTTAAACAGAAAGTACATAAAAGTAATTCTTATCCATGCTCACATTTCCTCAAATATAATTAAAAATTTCAACTGTGCAATTAAATTATCTTCACAATAATATATTCTTCTAAGGCTTTGCACTATATTAAGGAAATTATGAGGAGTCTTTGGTTTCTTTTTATTTAGAATAAAAATGGACATAAATAAATATTTTCCATTGATAAAAGAGTCAAAAAATCCATAGAGATTGATCACGTTAGCTCTGAAACATAGATGTTTACTGCTTTCTGGTTTTTAGTCACCCAACTAAAACAGAAAGTTAGTACTGAAGATAGGAAATAAATTAGCCTAGAGATTGCAGTTAGGTACAGCCATGAGTGTGGACTAATCAGTTTTGAGGTGCATATAAACTAGATGATGGTATCATTACAGTCAACTCCCCCATTATCTGGGATCATAGGAGACCAGGAACTGATGGACAACAGAAAAACCTGGATATTAGAGATGTTCCAAGGAACACCAGAGACATTTCAGTTCTGTATATAGTAAATACTGTCCAGAAAAACTTAACTCCAGGTTTAGCACTAGCCAGTGGTTTCAAGACATCATTTGCAGTTATATTCCTAATGACCCTGCAAATAATGTCTGAGCCTGTAAGACCACCAAGCCTGGGGTGGCTCTACAGGTATATGCATTCACTCTGCAACATTTTTGTTTGTGTTATTCTCCCAGACTTTATCAGGTAGTCCAAAACAGAACAGAAATGGTGCTAATGGTGCTTTTAGACTTCAAAACATTTCTCAAGACCTTGAGCAGTGTTTTTTTCCTGCCAGGGATGCTCACTCTAAATTGCTCAGTGTGTAGGACACCGCTGACATAGGGATGCACCTTTCAGTGCCCAATTTCAAGTTAGGAACACGAGACTTGCCTTTGCATCTGCTATACTCCTATTCACTACTAATTATCCAAATAATTACCTTTTCCTAAGCAAGATGTCTCTCTATCTGCTTTTTGACCAGAAGCTCTATGCAGGTGTTTTGCCAATTATCAGGCCTAGCATAAAGGCCACAGCTAGCATAAAGATGAACCAATAACCAAATAGTATTTGATACCAAAGGGTCAGTACATGGGTGAGCACTGGGGGTACAAACAAGTCAGCCAGTTTATACGTAATCAACATCAATCCTACTGACCCCAACTACAACACCACACAACCAACAATGGGTGGAATAAATGGTAAAATGCAGTCTCCCATAGAAGGGATGGGAGACAACCAAGTCAACAAGCCACATACTGAATCTCTACACAGCCTGCATTTACAAAAGCCAGACCTGACTGGAGCCCAGTTCCAGGGAGGCAGGAGCTCCTTCCCCGATAGGGAACTCTACACAGTGCATCCACCTCACAGACAGACACTGGCCCTTCCTGTAAGTGGTCCCAGCTTTTATCCCCAAGTGGGACACCTGACCTTTGTTTACTTAATGTGGGACACCTGGGGCTCATTTACCCAATGGCTCTCCCTGCCAGGCTGGCTGCACCCTGGAGGGAAGCCTAAAGGGAAACTCACCTCCGTTTTGTGAAGGGCTGTGGGAATCACCCACAGTTCAACTTTAATTTGGGGCTTGGGGTTGAAACCCCAGCATTTCAGCAGGGTGAAAAACCTTCCCCAGGGAAAGTGTTATTTCATATATAC